TGTTAATGTTGAACACATACAGAATAACAGTATAAAGTGGTAGAGAAAGTATAGACTTTGGGTAGAAATGAACTTCCTCAAGGTATAAAATGTAGAAACAAAAGGAAGAGTGGTAAGTTTGACTATATCAAAATAGAAAACTTCTGTGTGAAGAAAGGCCTTAAAACAGGCCAGACACTGTGGCTCAGGCCTGGAATTCAGTACTTTGGGAGGCCAAGGAGGGAGGATTGCTTGAGGCAGGAGTTTGAGATGGGCCTGGGCAATGTAGGTACAAGATTTTATCTTTACAAAAAATTTGTTTAAAAAATAGTCTGGTAGCCAGGGGTGGTGGCTCAAGCCTGTAATCCCAGCACTTTGGGAGGCTGAGGCAGATGGATCACCTGAGGTCAGGATTTTCAAGACCAGCATGGCAAAACCCCGTCTCTACTAAAAATACAAACATTAGCCAGACGTGGTGGTGTGCACCTGTAATCCCAGCTACTCGGGAGGCTGAGACAGGAGAATCACTTGAACCTGGGAGGTGGAGGTTGCAGTGAGCCGAGATTGCACCACTGCCCTCCAGCCTGGGCGACAGAGCGAGACTCCATCTCAAAAAAAATATATAGGGATGTCGGGCACGGTCTTGGGACCTACTTGGGAGACTTCAGTGGGAGGATCTGGGGAGGTCTTATGCCACTGCACTCTAGCCTGGATGACAGAGCAAGACTCTGTGTCAAAAAAAAAAGTAAGTTAATTGAAAAAATCAAATTTTTTGTGGGTATGTAAAAGTAATCCTACAATTGATACAATTTTTTTTCTTTAAAATTATTGTGAATTCAAAACTTTTTCTGTGTGTATAATGCCATTCTCTTACTCTGTGAATTGCCTGTTTGGGGTGTTGCTACATTTTTGTTTTGTTTTGTTTTCTGTTGTAGTGTTTACATTTTTCTTGTCAATTCATAAGAGGACTAGTGTACTAAGTCACTCATGTTCATATGTTGCAAAGAAGTGTTACAGAGTAAAACTGTTTTCCTTGATACTACCTTTAGATTCATGTTTGGGAAGACCTTCGCAATTCATGACTACATAAGTATTCACTTTTACTTTCTTAAGGCATTTTTGTTTTCGTTTCTTTTTATAGTAATGTCTAAGCCATCTGGAATTTATGTTTGTGGATTATACAGGGAAGGGATTCAAGTGCTTTTTCTCTGAGTCATTATCCACATGTCCAAACATTTATTGAATAGTCCTTTCCTTACTGATCTGAAAACACCTTCTTATAAAACCTTGCATTGGTTTTTGGACTTGCTGTGCTTTCAGGAGCCAGAAGAACACTCTTGATTATTGTAGCTTTATATTAATAATATATTTTGGCCGGGTGCGGTGGCTCACGCATGTAATCCTAGCACTTTGGGAGGCTGAGGCAGGTGGAACACCTGAGATCAGGGTTTCAAGACCAGCCTGGCCAACATTGCGAAACCCCATCTCTACCTAAAAAAAAAAAAACATTAGCTGAGCATGGTGGCGCCTGCCTGTAATCCCAGTTACTTTAGGAGGCTGAGACAGGGAGGTAGAGGCTGCAGTGAGCTGAGCTCGCACCACTGCACTCCAACCTGGGTGACAGAGTGAGACTCCATCGCAAAACAAAAGAAAAATACATTTCAATATGAGGTGATAAATTCTCCTACCTTGCTTCTCTCAAATTATTTTCCCAAAAAGCCTTAAATGTTTTCCATAGGAATTCTGATTTGGGAATAGAGTGAGTGAGTTGGTAGAGGGTGCCAATATGCCTTTTCTCATGCCCCACCTCTTAATTTTGCCTTTCCCCAGTTTTCCCTACTGTTACCATCTCACATTTATGTGGTATATTTATTATAATTGATGAGCCAACATTGACACATTATTACTAAATCTACAGTTGACATTAGAGTTTACTCTTTTTGTTGTATATTCTGTTGGTTTTGACAAATGCCTAATATTAAATATCCATCAATCATACAGAATAAATTCACTGCCCTAAAAATCTCAGCCTCCACCTATTCATCCCTCCCTGCCTCCCTAAAACCCTCATATTTTTACTGTTTCCATAATTTTGTCTTTTCCAGAAAATTACAGTTATATAGCATGTATCCTGTTCAGATTGGCTGTGTTGACTTAGCAATCTGTACTTAACATTTCTCAGCCGGGCTCGGTGGCTCACACCTGTAATCCTAGCACTTTGGGAGACCGAGGCGGGTGGATCACGAGGTCAGGAGATCGAGACCATCCTGGCTAACACGCTGAAATCCCATCTCTACTAAAAAAATACAAAAAATTAGCCGGGTGTGGTGGTGGGCGTGTGTAGTCCCAGCTACTCGGGAGGCCAAGGCAGGAGAATGGCGTGAACCCAGGAGGCAGAGCTTGCAGTGAGCCAAGATTGCACCACTCACTCCAGCCTGGGCAACAGAGCGAGACTCCATCTCAAAAAAACAAAACAAAAAACCAAAAACATTTCTCCATGTCTTTTCATGACTGTAATATATTTTTAAGCTTGTTTTTTTGTTGTTGTTGTTTGCTTTCTTGCTTTAAAAAACTGACCTCTGCAGTTAGTTGAGGTATTCAGGGTTTCTCCTGTGAATCTGTTTGAACATCATACATACTTGGCAGTGATTGGAGAGTGGTTTTTCCCTGGCCTGTGTGAAATACACTGAAGGTCTGCACCTGCCCGCGCACTTCGCATTGTACATGGGAATATACTATAGCTGCACATGTTCATGCAGTGGTGTCAGATGCCAGATAGTTCTAGGGCTTAGTTTAAGATTTGGGTAGTCTTTGCCTGACTTTGTGATCTATAGAAAGGCATGAAAGGAATTTTTAGATCTTGTTAGTGACTCAGCTTTCTAACAGGTATTTCCCACTCCTTTTTAAATCTTCTGGCTCAGTTTAATTGCAGAATACTCTGAGACTGCAAGTTGAGCTGTTTAAATCCAGGTACTGTTTGCACTGTTTACCTGTGTGAATTTGAATTTTATTAACATGGGGCCACAGAAGCAAAGTACATGAATGAATTGGATAGTAAGGTTGAAATAAGACTATAACTGTAATCTAAATTTCAGATGTTTATGTTTATATTTATAAAAACACCTATGTATTTTCATTTACTGTCAAAGTATACATTTTTTATTTTTTAAAAAAAATTTATTATTATTATTTTTTGAAACTGAATCTCACTCTGTTGCCCAGGCTGGAGTATAGTGCAATCTCAGCTCACTGCAACCTCTGCCTCCCGGGTTCACGCGATTCTTCTGCCTCAGCCTCCTAAGTAGCTGGGATTACAGACGGGTGCCACCATGCCTGGCTAATTTTTTATAATTTTAGTAGAAACAGGTTTCACCATGTTAGCCAGGATGGTCTCAATCTCCTGACCTTGTGGTCCACCCACCTCGGCCTCCAAAAGTGCTGGGATTACAGGCATGAGCCACTGTGCCCGGCCAGTAACTATACATTTAAACATAAACTATTTAATATGCTGCTTATCTCCAGCTTACATGTTGAGGTCCCTGTTGTCTTTAAACTTTTTTTTTTTTTTAAAGACAGTTTTGCCCTTATCGCTTAGGCTGAAGTGCAATGGCGCTATCTTGGCTCACTGCAACCCCTGCCTCTCAGGTTCAAGCGATTCTCCTGCCTCAACCTCCTGAATAGGTGGGATTACAGGCACCCACCATCACACCCGGCTCATTGTATTTTTAGTTACACCATGTTGGCTAGGCTGGTCTCAAACTCCTGACCTCAGGTGATCCACCCGCCTCAGCCTCTCAAAATGTTGGGATTACAGGTGTGAGCCACTCCACCTGGCCTGTCTTTTCAACTTTAAAAGTTTGATAATGATGGAATCTTTAATCATATTGCCTATATTTTCACTTTCTATGCAGTGACTATTGTTTCTGATTATTACGTTAAGGTAAAAAATTTAAAAGGCCCTTTCGGTCTTCAGAGGAGGATTAAAATATTCTCAGTGTGTGTTTTTGTTTGTTTTTTGAGATAGTGTCTGGCTCTGTTACCTGGGCTGGAGTGCAGTGGCTCGATCTTAGTTCACTGCAGCCTCCGCCTCCCGAGCTCAAACCATCCTCCCACCTCAGCCTCCCAAGTTGTTGGGACTACAGGTGTGTGCCACCATGCCTTGCTAATTTTTCTGTTTTTTATAGAGACAGAGTTTTGCCATGTTGCCCAGGCTGGTCTTGAACTCCTGGGCTCAAGCAATCTGCCTGCCTCAGCGTCTCGCAGTGCTGGAATTACAGGTGTGAGCCACCCTGCCCGGCTTTTTTTTTTCTTCTTTTTCTTTTTTCTTTTTTTTTTTTTTTTTTAAAGAGACAGGGTTCAGGCTGGAGTGGTGCAGTGGCATGATCATAGCTCATAACTCTGGGATTCAAACAATCCTCCCACCTTAGCCTTTCAAAGTGCTGGGATGACAAGTGTGAGCCACCACGCATAGCCTGTGTTAGATCTTTCTATTCTTTGGAAATTTTTGATTTCCAGAATGAAATTGCTCATCATTTAAAATACATATATATGTTAACTTTTTTATAAGAGTGAAATGTAGGCATCTATAAAGATGATCAAGATATGATCAAGGTCAAAATTGTTGACTTTCTGGAAAATTCATACAAAGCCCTTTTACATACCACATCACATTGCATTTCATTGAAAGATGGAGGGTATTCTAGAGAATTGTATTAGAAAGAGAAGACACATGGTAGGCCAGGCACAGTGGCTCACTTCTGTAATCCCAGCACCTTGGGAGGCCGAAGCAGGTGGATCACCTGAAGTCAGGAGTTCAAGATCAACCTGACCAACATGACGAAAACCCGTCTCCACTAAAAATATAAAAATTAGCTGGGTGTGGTGGCACATGCCTGGTAATCCCAGCTACTCTGGAGGCAGAGATTACAGTAAGCTGAGATTGCACCACAGCCCTCCAGCCTGAGTGACAGCGAGACCATGTCTCAATAAAAAATAAAACACATCATAGAAGAGGAAGGCAGATTCTTTTGTAGTTGCTAAGTGTGATGGTTATGTGTTCACACACATGTATAAGATGTGCCATCCTCCAACCTTGTTATAATGTCACATTACCCGACTGATGTGGAAAAAAAAAATACAAGAGGAAAGCAGTGCCAGAAACACAAGTAACTACATTGAGAAAGTTATATGCTGAGTAGCTTCTATTTTCTGTGTGGAGTTGGAGGTCAGCTGAAGGGTGGGATGCAGTTAGGTGGGTTTTTTCGTTTGGTTTTTGTTTGTTTGTTTGTTTGTTTTGAGATTGAGTCTCTCTCTGTCACCTAGGCTGGAGTGCAGTGGTGTGAGCTCGGCTCAACTGCAACCTCCGACCCTGAGATCAAGCCGTTCTCCTGCTTCAGCCTCACAAGTAGCTGGGACTACAGGCGTCTGCCACCATGCCTGGCTAATTTTTTTGTATTTTTAGTAGAGACGGGGTTTCACTATGTTGGCCAGGCTGGTGTTGAACTCCTAACCTTGTGATCCGTCCGCCTCACCTCCCAAAGTGCTGGGATTACAGGTGTGAGCTGCTGCGCCCGGCCAAAATTAGGTATTTAAAAGGGAAAAAAAGGACCAGTCTAGGCAACATATTGAGACCGTATCTCTACTTAAAGAAGAAAAAAGAATGACTGATCATGGTGGCATATGCCTGTAGTTGCAGCTACTCAGGAGGCTGGAGCAGGAGGATCCATTGAGCCCAGGAGCTTGAGGATGCAGTGAGCCATGATTGTGCCACAGCACTCCAGCTTAGGCAACAGAACAAGACCTCATCTCTTTTTTTTTCGAAGAGTGAGGAAAGGGGCCTGGGACAAGTAAATGATTCATCAGGTGGCAATGGAATGACAATCATATACTATGACTTGACCTATCCTAATTCTAAAAATATAAATCGGTTATTAGCAGTATTGTAGATAATTGAATATCCTGCTGCTCAGTGCAGAGTAAAAACTGCTCCATCAACAATTGGAAGCTACATTTAATCAGATAATTCAGGGGATGCCTATTATGAATATGACCTGATTTTAAGGGATCTTCATTGTTTTTTAGGGTTTGACTTACTATACAGTGGTCTTCCTTTGTTTAGTTTGCTATTTCATGTAATCTGCCTGTATACTTCTGATACTTCTGATAAATAGGTCTTTTAAAATTACTGCTTTCATTAAATTGCATTTTCTTGCCTTGAATGTCCTACATAGTCTGTTTCTCTTTCTAGCCGTTTCTCTCATTGTTTTAATGCCACCTTTCTAATGTTTTTACCTATTTTTTAGATAATTTGCTTTTAGAGCAGTTTTAAGTCATGGTAATGATTATAGCATCTTTGCCTTGTTCTTTAACACAAGTGTTTCTAGTGTTCTGCCACTAACTATTAGATTTATTGGTTGAAGGTTTGAGAGATTTCTTTTTCCTGATGTTAGTGAACATTCTTAATGAAGACCTTTCCGTTAATAAGGAATGTTTTAAAATCAAGAATGTTGAATTTGTTTCTGTTTTTTGAGACAGAGTCTCACTGTGTCACCCAGCCTGTAATGCAGTGGCGCCATCTTGGCTAACTGCAATACTCCACCTTCCAGGTTCAAGTGATTCTCTTGCCTCAGCCTCCCAAGTAGCTGGGATTACAGCCGTGCGCTGCCGCGCCGGGCTAATTTTATATTTTTAGTAGAGCTGAGGTTTCGCCATGTTGACCAGGCTGGTCTCAAACTCCTAACCTCAAGTTATCCACCCACCTCAGTCTCCCAAAGTGGTGGGATTACAGACGTAAGCTACTGCACCTGGCCGAGAATGTTGAATTTGATCAGATGTTTTTAGATAAACATTGAGATCTCCATAATGTACCATTCTGATTCACTTGGTCCGCATCAGCTCCCTGCCTAGGTAATACCTACTACTTCCTTTAAGGCCTCGCATCTTGCCTTTATAAAAAGATTCTTCCATTCAGTCTCTCTTCTCTTGGTTTTGAATTAAATTTCATAGACTTCAGTAACTTTTATTTTGCTCCTCCGATAGGTTTACAAGATCCCTAGGAGGCAAGGGACCATATATAACTTAACCTTCTTTTATATTCCCTTGTATAAAACTGGGAATAACAGACACTCATCCCTTCTTCCTCTCTCCTTTTTTCTTTACATGTTTTATAGTGAAATTTTGGTTTACATTTTAAAAATACAAATGTTTCAAACTATTCAATACATGACAGTTGTACTGGCTATCTTATTGTACAACCTGACTTTTCCTTATGAGCTTTTGAAATAACGCAAAATATTTTTACAGGAATATATCCTGAGAGGATCTCACAGTTGTAAATTATGCTGAACAACTAAGGCAAAACCTCCCTGTCTCTGGAAACGTAGCTGACTTCTGGCCTGTAGCAGGCCATGCAGTTTTTTTTAAGTGTCAGTCAATAATATAGTAACTTTAAAACAACATAATTAGGAGTTCAGCCCGGTTAGTGTGACATTCTCTCTCCCACTCCCCCAACCCCCTTTCTCTCTCTCATACCTTTAAGTATTTTAGTTTTCAGTAAAGTTATTTTTGTTAACAGGTTAAAGGGTAAAGAGGGAAACACAATAAAAAAGGGTGGAGGCTGAAAACAACTGTTTAGTGACTGCCCTCTGTTTTGTGTTTCTGTAACTCAAGAAATTTAATCCAAATATGAGAATGAACAGTAATGCATATTTTTTGTTTATTTATTTGGTTTTGCTTTTTTGAAAATGCAATGTGATATACTTATTTGGTAGATCATTTTTGGCTTTTGTTGCTGCTGTGGTCTGGAGGGTATATCAGGATGTTACCTCAGACCCAGCTGTCTGATGAAAAGAAATGGGAGCCAGCAGGCTGGTTACCAGGTACAGGGTTCTTTTTGCTTGATGGGGAAGATAAAGTTCCACTCACCCGGAGTTGCCTGAATTTCGTTCTTCTTCATTTTGTCTCTGCCATGGATAAGGTCTCATTATAGCCTCTTGCTGAACTTGTACTTGTCCCAAGATTGGTAGTAGTTGAATCCTGAACTGCCTTTTGGAAGTAGTTACCTTAAAATGTGATGGTGAAGGATGGTAATGGCAATCAGTTTGTCAGACAGATTTCTTAGGGTACATGAGGTTGGAGAGGTATAAGACCTATAGCCAGGAACTCATCACATCTGTGCTGCCCTTTCCCTGAAGGCGCGGTAGGGTATTTTAGCATAAGAATTTAGGAAGTCTTGGCTGGGCACAGTGGCTCACGCCTGTAATCCCAGCACTTTGGGCCAAGGTGGGCGAATCACCTGAGATGATGAATTCGAGACCAGCCTGGCCAACATGGCAAAACCCCATCTCTACTAAAAATACAAAAATTAGCAGGGTGTGGTGGCACACACCTGTAGTTCCACCTACTTGGGAGGCTGAGCCAGGAGAATCATGAGGTTGTGGTGAGCTGAGATTGCACCACTGCATTCCAGCCTGGCGACAGAGTGAGACTCCGTCGCAGACAAAAAAAAAAAAAGAAAATATTGGCAAGCCTTGGCCGGGCATGGGGGCTCATGACTGTAATTCCAGCACTTTGGGAGGCCAAGGCAGTCAAATCACTTGAGGCCAGGAGTTCGAGACCAGCCCAGCCAACACGGTGAAACCCTGTCTCCACTAAAAATACAAAAAAAAGTAGCTGGGCATGGTGGTGCTCGCCTGTAATCCCAACTCTCAGGAGGCTGAGGCATGAGAATACTTGAACTCGGGAGATAGAGGTTGCAGCAAGCCGAGACCATGCTACTGTACTCCAGCCTGGGTGACAGAGTGAGACTCCATTAAAAAAAAAAAAAAAATTAGGAAGGCTTGATACCCGTTTGAGACTTGGTTGATATCCTATGGCCGCAGCTTAGGGAATGATCCCCTGTATATTTCTGCCCTGGAAATAAATTTTATTCACATACTCTCCCAAGACTATAACAAGTTTCATCTTGTTATCTAAAATGGTATAGCCTGGGGTGGTGTGAGAGATGGCTTTTGGAGGAGAGTACTAAAGATGACTCCAGGTGTGCTCCTGGTGGTGTCATGCTTGATACTGCCTGGTCTTCTGTGTTACCTTCACAGAGCCTTCAACAGCCCTGCAGACATCTCAGATTTGTTGGGCCTCTGGACCTTTTAGAGTAATGCATGTTGTCTCCATTGTTGCCCTGAATATGCAAGCTTAGCCTTTTCAGTGTATCTTTTTTTGTTGTTTTTGTTTTTGAGATGGAGTCTCGCTCTGTCGCCCAGGCTGGAGTGTAGTGGCCGAATCTCAGCTCACTGCAAGCTCCGCCTCCCGGGTTCATGCCATTCCCCTGCCTCAGCCTCCCGAGTAACTGGGACTACAGGTGCCGCCACCTCGCCCGGCTGGTTTTTTTTTTTTGTATTTTTAGTAGAGACGGGGTTTCACCGTGTTAGCCAGGATGGTCTCGATCTCCTGACCTCATGATCCACCCGTCTCGGCCTCCCGTCTCGGCCTCCCAAAGTGCTGGGATTACAGGCTTGAGCCACCGTGCCCGGCCCCTTTTTTTTTTTTTTTTTTTTTAGTTTTTATTTTACTTTAAGTTCCGGGATACATGTGCAGAATGTGCAGGTTTGTTACACAGGTAAATGTGTGCCATGGTGGTTTGCTGCACCTATCAAGCCATCACCTAGGTGTTAAGCCCCACATGCATTAGCTGTTTGTCCTGATGCTCTCCCTCCCTTTGGCCCCCGCCCCCACCAACAGACCCGGGTATGTGGTGTTCCCCTCCCTGCGGTCCATGTGTTCTCATTGTTCAACTCCCAGTTAGGCGTGAGAGCATGCGCTGCTTGGTTTTCTGTTCCTGTGTTAGTTTGCTGAGGATGATGGCTTCTAGCTTCATCCATGTTGCCGCAAAGGACATGATCTCATTCCTTTTTATGGCTGCATAGTATTCCATGGTGTACATGTACCACATTTTCTTTATCCAGTCTGTCATTGATGGGCATTTGGGTTGGTTCCATGTCTTCGCTATTGTAAATAGTGCTGCAGTAAACAAAGTGTGCATGTGTCTTTATAGTAGAATGATTTATATTCCTTTGGGTATATACCCAGTAATGGGATTGCTGAATCAAATGGTTTTTCTGCTTC